ATGTCTACTATTACCAGAGTACTCCATATTGTACAAGATTTCCAATTAATCAGTTACTACTGTGGTGGATGGGTGTGTTTTAATAAAAATTTATTAAACCTATGTGATATCATTGTAGATGCTGTTTGGAATAAATTACATGCACATAGAGGCAGTTCTTCAAACTTAGAACCTGACTTTTTATCTAGGGCTAGTCCATATGTAAGTTAATTATTTCTCTTGTCTAATAACCTATGGCCATGTATTTTAAAGAAAGTTTACAGACATAAAAAATAAAATAATAAGGGCCGAGCCCGTGGCACACTCGGGAGAGTGCGGCACTGGGAGCGCAGCGGCGTTCCCGCCACGGGTTCAGATCCTATATAGGAATGGCCGGTGCAGCGGGAGCGCCGCCGCGCTCCCAAGCGGTGCACTGTAGCAGTGCGCCACCGGGCTGGCCCCTACAGTGTGTCAATTTTTAAAAAGATAAGCATTATACTTTAACAAGAATAAAACAAAATTTTAAAAAAGATATTGAAATTGCCAAAGTTCATGGACCCCCACGGTCTCTGACTTCACCATAAATTTAATTTATTTGATCTGTCGACCCTGCTTTAAGACACATGGTGGAGAATTAAGCACTCCCTGCTATAAACAAATTCAAAATGTGAAATAGGTGGAAATAATAAAACTAAGAGCTCTTAACAAAGGCGTCATAATATTGATTCTTAAAGTAGCAAGAATTTAAAAGTATCCAGTTTGTAACAAAGATGCCAAACATTGTATGCGTAATTGGGTCACATAAAGTTTGATATACCAGTATCCTGGACTTCTGGTTGCTGAGCTAACTGTATAAATTAGGTTGTATGTTGAATCCCCCTGCCCCACCCCCATTTGTTCTTACAAATTGAGGGGGAGAGCACAATTGATTTAACTTTTAGCATGTAAATTGTTGTCAATTTATTGTCCTACTTAGTTGTCAAGATATTTAAGTAACATGCTGAAATTAAGGCTTCTGTTCTGGGTGGGGAGTTTACTCCTTGGAGTAAGAAGTAGAGGAAAAGATTTTGGCTTTCTAAAAGGTGAAAATATTTGAGATGTAATTTTGTTAAGTCCCTACCTAAATTAATCCTTATGGATCTCTTATATTGATTTATCATTGTCATTGGCCTCAGCTTACCTTGCCTTGGAGAATTCAGAGAATAAGTAAATAGCGCTATTTTAGAGGTAGAGTGTGTCCTAGAGACTCGGAGAAAAAGAGATCCTAAGAATAGCCTTCTGTTCAATTTACTTATCTCTCAGACTACTCTAGGTCTTCGGCTTACCTAATTAATTAAGATTTAGGAAAGAACTTACTTAGCTTTGAAACACTCAGACCTTTTAAGGAATCTGACTTGTTTGTGTCAACTACTCAGAAGGAATGTATCTTCTGAATGTACCTAAACTTTGTTCCATGTAGATAGCAATTTTGTCAGATGTCTATGGCTCATTGATCTGGTATTAACTTCTATATTAATTTGCTTTAGCAATAATAGTAACAATACCAGGCACTGTTCTAAATGCATTACATGATTTAACTCATTTAATCCTCACAACCACTCTGTGAGGCAGGTGCTGTTATTATTTCATTTTATAGGTAAGGAAACAGACATCTGCAGGGCTGGTATCCACCCCAGCCAAGCAGGCTGGCTTCAGAGCCTGTGCTCTTAACCATAGTTCTTTATACGCTTATTGTGTTTTGGAATCCAGAATTTTTCAGATATTTTAGAATGGGAATACAATGTATATGCCTTTATAATATCTCTGGTGGAGTGTGGAATAGCACCCTGTAATCAAACATAATTTTACATCAATACATATGAATATTCACACTAAGCAGATTGAGTGAAGGTTATATACATAGCCTCATCATTTCAGGTCAAGTTTTGTCACCAAATGATTTTGAAAAACTTGGGTTTTCAGAACTCTGAGGATTTTGGCATTTCATGTAAGGGACTGAAGATCTGTACTATAAACAGCCTCTCACAGAGGCCTTCATCTATGGAGTGACCTTTGGGGGTGGAGCAGGAAAAGAAAATTGCACTGAATTCATATTTCTCATTTTTAAAAACCAAAATAGCTTTGCTTTTCTCTAAGCACAAGGAGCAAGTAATCACTTTTTGCAAAGTTCACCCAATATAGAAAGTTTTTTGTAATGAAGAAAATAAAGTCATCTTTGATCTTTTTTTTTTTTAATCTGTAATTTGACCATTCAGAGAGATCAACTGTTATTGATCCTCTGGATTTTCTTTTCTGTGTGTGAACACATATAGTAAAAATAGATTATTTTAAGTGGGCTCAATTTGCCTATATTCAAATTCTGTGTCACTAACTGAATGTGTGACCTTGGGAAAATTAATCACTCTGTGCCTCGGTTTCTTTATCTACACTTGGGGGTGATGATAGTGCCCATCTGGGAGGGGTTTTATAAGGATTAAGTGAATTAATTACATGCAAAACACTTAGAACAGTGCCAGGAGCATAGTGCCCATCAATTTAGCTATTATTTCATGTTTTGTCACTTGCTACATTCAGTTTTCACTTACAGAGTATGGACAATGTCCTAAGATAATAAAAGTAGAGCCACATAACTTTTTTTTTTGTCCTTTTTGAGACCGGCCGCACCGCGCTCAGCCAGTGAGCACTGTGAGCGCACCGGTCATCCTTATATGGGATCCGAACCCGCGGTGGGAGCACTGCTGTGCTCCCAGCGCCTCACTCTCCCGAGTGCGCCACGGGCTCGGCCTGAGAGCCACATAACTTTTAATGGTCACATAGTATTCTTTATTGAAATTCCTTGATTTATGTAAGGGATTTACATAAATCCCTTACTCCCTGAAAGTGAGTATCCCTGTATCTATTTCTTTTTTTCATTTGCCCAGCTATCTCATTAGATTAATCCCTAGAAATGGAATCACTGACTCACAGTGTGTACAATTTTAAAATTTTGATACAGATTGCCCAATTTACACTAAAATTGTATTTTTGCTTGTTTCCATGTATAGCTGTTTTGGGGGACCTTGGTCTGCTGCTTTACTTATATGCTTGATTTTAAAAGCCAGGATTTCGGGGCCGGCCCGGTGGCACACTGCTACAGTGCGCTGCTTGGGAGCGTGGTGGCGCTCCTGCCGAGGGTTCGGATCCCACATACAGACCGGTTCCCACTCACTGGCTGAGCGAGGTGCGGGCGCAACACCGAGGGTTACGATCCCGTTGCCGGTCCCGGTCCGGTACGGGCGCGACACTGAGGGTTGCGATCCGTTGCCGGACACGACAAAAAGGAAAAAATAAATAAATAAATAAATAAAAGCCAGGATTTCCAGTGTCTCAAATCCAAATCCACATTTTAGTCTTGAAGGTTTAAGTTACCATTCTGCAGAAGTCTCTTATATATTTTCTTTTTTTCCAACTTTCACAGTACTTATGATTTCCAAGTTAGGGGCAAGAACTTGTCCCTAACAAGCTTTGTTTGGTATTTCACAAATTAAATTATTTTGGAGTGACAGTATTGTTTTAACTATATCATTATACTAGTTAGGCTTTTTAGTCAGGCTAGGAGGCTTCCCCTTAGGGAGGCAAGAGTTTTTAACTAGAAGCAACAAGACTGTATGAAGGATAGCAGGTCATGAGTAATTCCCTTAGTCACAATTCCTGTGGGATATGAGGGTAGAGAGAACTAACTCATGGAATATCTCCACCAATGTCTCAGCACCGCTGATTGATATGAGAACTGTCCCTAAAGAAGACTCATTTCCATGGTCAGATCCTGTCTGTATATGTGTCTGTTCTTTTTTTTTTTTTTCCTTTTTGTCTTTTTTCGTGACCAGTAACGGGATTGCAACCCTCGGTGTCATGCCCTCACCATGCTCAACCAGTGAGCGGACGTACTCACCCTCTAAAAATTGGTAAGCCACAAAGATAAGCTCTTTTAAATCTGGAAAAAAAAGGTTTTATTTTTATTTTTTTTAAAGATGACCAGTAAGGGGATCTTATCCCTTGACTTGGTGTTGTCAGCACCACGCTCAGCCAGTGAGCTAACCGGCCATCCCTATATAGGGATCCGAACCCATTGCCTTGGTGTTATCAGCACCACACTCTCCCAAGTGAGCCATGGGCCAGCCCTGAAAAAAAAAGGTTTTAAATCAGTGGATTCTTGATCTTTTTTGTGTCAAGAATCCCTGTGAGAATTTGATGAAAAACTATGGATACTTTTCCAGGGGTGTGTGGGAGGAAGTACATATACACAGATTTTTTGTCTACAGTTTCAGAGGGTTTATAGGACCCCCTTAGAACCCTCAATTAAGAACCCTTTTCCCAAAGAGAAAAAATAGAAGAGATTTATTCCTCTTCCAAGAATGAATGAGCCAGTTGAAGAACAGGGAGCTCTTCAGCTTTGGCTACTAATTCCACAGGATCCAGATGATTTCTTTCTCCCTGCTATGTCACCAAGACTGACTCCCATTTGTTTTTCAAACATGTCTTTTGTTTGTTTTTTGGCAGGTGGCCAGTACAGGGAACTGAACCCCTGACCTTGGTGTTAACAAGGCCGTGCTCTAACCAACTGAGCTAACCAGCCAGGCCTGTGTCTTTTTTAAGTGACAGAAAACCCCCTGTTCTTTGCAGTGAAATACTTAGCATGTGGTTCTTGGCAGCTGCGACTGATCATTACCGTATAGAGAAGTGGCAGGTGATGCTCCTTCAGCAAACCAGCCTGAAGCAGCCAAGAAACCACGATCTTGTCCCTTGTCATCATCTCATCTGTCTACCTCCAAACCATCCACATTGAGAACTTGAAAGTGAATATAACTTTAAGCAAGTTTGTAGGAAAGGCATAAATACTTTATGTCATTTTCCATTTATTCTCCTAACTGAAGGTGATAGGATTGACTTTTTAAATGGATGCCAACTTACTGTTTTTCACCTTTAACGTGTAAGATCAGTTGACTTCTTTGCTTCCTCCTGTCATTTTACATTAGGTGGAACTGCATTGTGACAACCCATGGGCCACCTCCCATGGCTGGCCATTCCTCCTGCGTGATAGATGATAAAATGATTGTCTTTGGAGGTTCTTTAGGATCCCGGCAAATGTAAGTATATTTGGTTTGCTTTATATTAACCTGAAGGTAACTATTCCTGAGAATAACAGGTCAGAAAAGTGAGTAAGTCAGGGTCAATATTACAGAGCAGGGTTCTAATTAATCCAATTAGTTATCTCACTCTAGCATTTTGTTCTTGGGTTCCCTAGTTACCTACCAATAAGTTGAAAAACTTGCTCCATAAAAGCACGGTTACGTAGAATCTCTTTTTATTTGATATGCAGTTCTGTTCAGTGGGATCAAATTCTGATGGAGCCTCTACCTTGTCTGCCGTACCGTGCCTCCAGAAGGCCACCTTCCAAGAAGCAGAGTGCCTTTACTTGCTCTACCCAGCTCGTGTCCTTTTGGGCTTTAGAGAAGGAGAAGTAGATTGACAGGACTGGTTGAAATTGTGGACTCTTCAAATGGGATGGGTTGGGGGAGTGGATAAGAACAAGAAAACTGTGTCACACTTCTGTGAGGCGGTTCTCCCCACCCACTGTCCTCTCTACCTCTGGCTATAACTGGCCAGCTGAGGCCAGAATCAAGAGCCAAAGCAATCCTTCTGTATTACTGTTTATCTGATTCGGCAGTAGCAGCAGTAGTAGTCATTTCCCTTGTGCTCTAAAATGGGGATTGATGAGCTTTCAGAAATAAAACCATTCCAGATGCAACCCTGTCCTCTCTTAGAGTACTCTACATATTTTAAAACAGTTGTGAAGAGAGACCATAGGAGCTTTCCTCCAGTCGAGCAGGTTTAGGATTTAAGGTATTGGAGCTATTAGTCCTGTATTCCTGTGTGTGAATAAATGACTTTAGAGAGGTGTCCATAAAATAGAGACTGCCATCCAGGAGTCTGTCCTTGCCATGCTGGTCCCTTGAGAGTTGGAGATTCTGAATTGTCCTTGATAAAAGCAGCTTTCATTAGCCATTGTGAAATTACTTTTTCTAGCCAGAATCAATAAAGCTTTTAAGCCCTGGACAATGATGTGAATCTTTTTTTCTTCTTTTTTGAATCATTTTTTCTCTTCCCTGTGATTTTTGCTTTTGAAAGACTATAGCTTGACCAGTAGGTATTTCCTGCTATTACCAATTAACTTTTACTTTAAGTACTAGTGTGTGACTACAGGCATGACTCAAATGTGGCCTTATGGGTCAGTGGAAAGAGCAAAGGTTTGGAGGTCTCAAGATGACTACTAGGGAAAGTAGGGGAAGAAAAATATAGTTTATGTGCTAACTATGAGCATGGCACTTTGCTAATACAGGCATGACTCAAATGTGGCCTTATGGGTCAGTGGAAAGAGCAAAGGTTTGGAGGTCTCGATGACTACTAGGGAAAGTAGGGGAAGAAAAATATAGTTTATGTGCTAACTATGAGCATGGCACTTTGCTAAACATCTTTATAAAGGTAACTTCATTTACACCAGCTCTTTAGAGTACTAGCAGTATTTCCATTTATAGATAAGGAAACCAGAGATAGAGAAAATTAAATGACTTGTTTAGGCTGCGGAGCTGGGATTCAACAGTCCTTCTGGTTGTGAAGCCCCTGAACTCAGAGTAGGCTATATTTGAAGCCTCCTCCAGACCAAACAGTGTGTGTAAAAGTGAAAATGGTACACGTTCACCAGGTGGGTGCAGGCAAGTAGAACTTCCCAACCACCGTTGTGGACCCTGAGAGCTCTCTCATCCTTCTGTCCTTATCTCACAGGAGCAATGATGTCTGGGTCCTTGACCTTGAGCAGTGGGCGTGGTCCAAGCCAAACATCTCCGGTCCCAGTCCTCATCCTCGAGGTGGCCAATCTCAGGTGCTCAGGAATTAAAATAACTATTCAGAAAACACTGTAGCATCTTTCAGTTAGGACGGGAGAGGTAGGAGGGAGTCAGGTAAGATGCCAGTGTGTGTGAAGCCAAAGACAATTTATGGTTCTTTTTTGCTAGTATTTATTTTTCACCTTCTAATGGGTCATATTATTTATAGTGGCTTTATATTATGCCTCTTCCCAAAGCATTTACTTTGCTGTTTCGTTTCTCAAGAGAACCTACATTTTATGTGGTTGACACTCTCATGTTTATATTTGATCAATAAAGAATGTATCCATTTGGATAGATCATCATGATCACAGGGTTCAGAATTGACATGGTTTTGGGAGAATGGAGAGCTTATGATAACTAGAACACTCTCATTTGCAAGCTGGGTAGGCTGTTTTCAGATACCTACGTCTTTGTAAGTTTATTTTAAATTTCTTCCCCTCCCCAGATTGTCATAGATGATGCAACTATCTTAATCCTTGGAGGGTGTGGCGGTCCCAATGCTGTGAGTATTGCTTGTGTGGCATTCCCGTGCACCTTCTGCTGAGTGTTCAAAACCTGCTTCCCCTGAATTTCATTTAAGGAATGCCTTTTACACCCTGGGTATATAGCCCTCGTATTTTCTGGCATTTTTTCCCACTCTCTTTTGGATTTGGAAGATGCTTTTTGTGTGTGTGTGTGTGGGTGGCCGGTACAGGGATCCGAACCCTTGGTGTTATCAGCACTGCACTCTAACCAACTGGGCTAGCCAGCCAGCCCTATATCCATATTCTTTTTATTCCCACTTCCTCTTTAGGCTATAAGGTTTTTTGCTGCTGTCGTTTTTTCAAAGGGGAAGGGGCAGTGGGAGATAAAAGCAGGTTGATAACTGCTAAAATCCACATGGAATTTATTTAAGGATGCAGATTCAGAAAGTTATGGATATGTATCATTTACCCTCTCCCCTGCCCCCCAGTACATGCACATATAAAACCATGAGCAAGATCCAGAACCACTTACAGTTGATTCATGGGTCTCAAGCATGATTCCATGCACCAGGACAGTGGTAATATATATGAATGCATGTACAACTAAATAAATATAACTAAGGGTTTTGCTGTTCTTTCTGAAGAGCCCGTACGCGTTCTAGACCAGACAGCCCAGCTTCGAGACGGCAGCTCTGTGTGTGTGCGTTTTCTAACACATATCACATCTGAGTGGTGTTGTTGGTCCTTCTCTTACAGCTGTTCAAAGACGCTTGGTTGTTGCACATGCACTCAGGTCCCTGGGCCTGGCAGCCACTCAAGGTAGAACATGAAGACCATGGGGCCCCTGAACTGTGGTGCCATCCAGCTTGCCGGGTAAGCAGGGAACTGACAGGCCAGCAGGAAGAGAGATTCTAAATTGGAAAACCAAATTAATTTGTTGTATTTCAAAGGAAATTTGTACAGAAGTAGAAAACACCATGGTGTCACAAAAGAGGTAGACATTGACCGTAGCTCGTTTGGCATTTCTCACATGTATGAGCCACTAAATGGGAAAACTTATGTGGGTCCCACTATCCTTTAAGTCCCAGCTTTAAGCATCCCTTTGACTATCAAACTTTCCTTGGAGACCCTCAAACAAAAACAGATTTCTCCCTCCGCTCTACCCCTATTCTATAGACATAACCCTGATGATAACACATGTCACACTAAAGCAACAGTTGTTCCCCTGTTTGTCTCTCCTTCTAGCCTAGAGGGCAGATTATGTCATATTCATTTCTGTATCTCAGGTACCTACAAAATACCTAGCACATTCCGGATGCTCAGGATAAAATGTTCGATAGTTGAATGAATGATCAGATTTGTGGAACAGTCTGTGAGCGCAGGTCCTTTGTCTTCCAGGTGGGACAGTGCGTGGTAGTCTTCAGCCAGGCTCCTAGTGGGAGAGCCCCACTCAGCCCCAGTTTGAACTCTCGCCCATCACCTATTAGTGCCACTCCTCCAGCCCTGGTTCCTGAAACCCGAGAGTACCGCTCTCAGTCTCCAGTAAGGAGTATGGATGAAGCTCCTTGTGTTAACGGCCGCTGGGGAACACTGAGGCCCAGGGCTCAAAGGCAAACTCCCTCAGGTTCCCGGGAAGGGAGCCTTTCCCCAGCCAGAGGAGATGGCTCTCCAATCCTCAATGGTGGGAGTTTATCACCAGGAGCAGCAGCTGTCGGTGGCTCTTCCTTGGACAGCCCTGTACAGGCCATATCTCCGAGCACTCCATCTGCTGCTGAAGGATATGACCTAAAAATGGGACTTTCTTTGGCCCCCCGACGAGGTTCACTACCAGATCAGAAAGATCTGAGATTAGGATCAATAGATGTGAATTGGGATCTGAAACCTGCTTCTAGTAGCAATCATATGGATGGCGTGGACAACAGGACAGTTGGAGGAAGTTTGAGACACCCTCCTGAACAGACGAATGGTGTACATACCCCACCACACGTGGCCAGTGCTCTTGCAGGGGCCGTCTCCCCTGGTGCCCTGCGTCGGAGTCTGGAAGCCATCAAAGCAATATCATCCAAAGGCCCCTCAGCTTCTGCAGCACTAAGTCCTCCTCTTGGGTCTTCTCCAGGCTCCCCTGGGAGCCAGAGCCTGAGCAGTGGAGAAACAGTGCCCATCCCCCGCCCAGGGCCTGCCCAAGGAGATGGACATTCCTTACCTCCCATTGCCCGCCGACTAGGCCACCACCCTCCCCAGTCCCTAAATGTTGGCAAACCCCTGTACCAGAGTATGAACTGCAAGCCCATGCAGATGTACGTGCTGGACATTAAAGACACCAAGGAGAAGGGGCGGGTCAAATGGAAAGTATTTAATAGCAGTTCTGTGGTTGGACCTCCTGAAACCAGCCTGCATACAGTGGTACAAGGCAGGGGTGAACTCATTATATTTGGAGGACTCATGGACAAGAAACAGAATGTGAAGTACTATCCAAAAACAAATGCCTTGTACTTTGTGCGAGCAAAGAGATAATGTGTTCTAAACCCCTTTCCCTTTCTTTGGCTTTTAATTTGGAATTTTCCAGTGTGCGAGCATTTGGACTGAGAATTGGGAAAAAAACAAAATTGCTCCCATAAACCGAAATACCAGTTCCCAACCTAACTCACTCCAGGCTGGGATCAAGTCTCCATTAAGAAAAAAATTATATATATAAAAAAAAAAAAATATATATATATATATATATATATTATATAGCCAACTCTGTTTACAAAAAGGGAGAGATCTCCGTCCTGGTTCAGATAAAGTTGTTGCTGTGTTTTAGCAGAGGCTGTGCTGCCTTTTTCTACTTTGCTGGTAACTAGACCAAGAAGTTAGGCAACAGACTAACTAATATCAGTAACTTTCCAAAAGAAACTGAAGAGCCCCCTGTAAATCTTTATGTGGCCTTCTCAGAGTTAGAAAACAAAAGGGCATCTATAAGATGAAGAGGTAGAGATTTTTAGACTCATGTGCTTCAGGTGCTGGCCGGGTAAAAGTAACTTATGGAAAACTCTTCTTCCCCTTCTCTTAAAACCACAGAGGACCTGTGACAGCTGTGCAGAAATGCCCTCTGCCTGACCCCTTCTGCCCTTTATGACTAAGGAAAGTTACCCATCAAGGGATTTTGTTCCACATTTGTGTGCCAGGATCATCATGAAATAATGTGTATGCAGCCCACATCCATTCACCTAGTGTGTCCATTGATCTTTTGAGTACCCCATGTGTGTCTCAGAAAACATTTTGGTGTCTGATTATAGAATTTTCTGACAATTGTATTTGGTTGCAAGTTGCCAAAAACGGTTATCCGTTCTCCTTTTTCTTACCTTGGAATTTGGTCCTCGGAAACTGCCTTCTCCATTTATAGGCTGCTTTTTTCTTTTATTTTCTTTTCTCTTTTTTTGCATATGTAGATTTTTTAAGCCCTAAAACCTTTCTCACTTTCTGTTTCTTTTACAAAGCTCAGATGCCAAGAGAAATCAGATGTTCTTTAGAAATATTACTGGAACCCTTTCCCTGGTATTCTAAGATGCCAGTATTGTGAGAAATCTTTGAAGTATCAAAAGATACTGGTCCCCCCCCTCCCCACCCATGAGCTTCTCTTTCTTCCAAAGCACATTGGGTACACCCATCCATATCTGTAGAATGTGGAAATTGATGCTGGAAGGGAACCCCAATAACTGTCCCTTCCAGAAATGGCTTTGTCCCTTGTTTTGACATATATTCTTCTGTGTGGCTATTGACAGGTGATTGGGTTGAGTATCATGTATTTGACCTTGGTGATGCATGGCTGACCTTGGAAGCAACTCCATCCTTTGTGCTTATCTTAATCATGTGTCACCCAAACAGCACTTGGGTTTTTAGTTTCACTTCATTTCTGAGATAAGGCGTAACCAAGTAGAGCATTTCTTTGATCAGTACAGCAAGTTATAAGTTACTAGTCTCTAAACCATGGCCTTGGACATAGGAGATGTCAAAGTAAGTTTATTTCAAATGGCACGATTTAAAATGTGGATTTTTTTGTGCTTTCTTATCAGTGGAAAGAGGGTTTTTATTTTGCCTGTAGGATTTAAATTTCAAAACATTGTGTTTCCATACCCTCTCCTTTTTCTTTTTAGTGTTTCCCAGGCACAGGCCTGCTGCAGCTGGCCCTGGGTCCTGGCTTTCAGCCAGCACTGAGCAGTCTGTCCAATAAGTGTCTTCTCCTGTTACATCATGCCGAACCCTTTCCCCTAGCCATTAGCTTTTATGGTGTGGTCTTGGTGAGAAAGCCCCCTTGTGCCAAGCCCAGGAATGGGCCAGCTCACGGGGAAGGGTATGTATTCCAGAAACTGATCTACATGTTCCTTAGATGAGGAAACAACCATGTGCCTGCTTACTTTGGTATCCAGCTGCTCAAAGCTCTACACTTTGTTTTTCGGACTCTGGAGCAGTTCTTCCTTGGCAAAGACTGTTCGATCATGTGGGGTTCTTATTTACAAGGGAAAACTAGACCAGAAGATTAGCAACTTAGGCATTATTGCTGTTGCTGAACCGTTTTTATGACATTGCAGTTGTGCATGGACAGTGCCTCCAAACTCAGTTTTTATTTAAATATAAGTATTTTGGAAGCCTGAAAGTTCAAAATCTCAACTTTGTAATCTTTCCCTTTGTACTATGGCCTTCCTAAGCCAGTTGTTAACCTGTTGATTCCTTTTACTTTCCCCAAGTAGGCAGGCAACACAGTTGTTGATTCTCTTGGAAAGCATTTCAGTTCCTCTGAACTCTATGGCATCCGAGTAATGCCCACACTGCTCAGAACCAGACTGTCCATTTACAGCTCTTTAAGAAAAATCTCATCTGCATCCAGTGGTGTTGGCCTTGGTGGCTCCTGAGCATTGTGGGCATGTGCCTTGGGAAAGCAACTCAACACAGTCAAGGTGATTGTCTCCTCAGGCCCTGGGGAAGCCACATGTGGGGTGAAATTTCAGGTGTCTCAACTGAGGTGAGCACTTCCACAGCACTGTGGATGCTCCAGTCAGATTGGATTAACCACAACTCTGTTTTTGATGTGATACCAGTTTTGTCTTAAAATTCACTGAGAAAAAGGAGACTAGATTTTTTTTTAAACCCTCAGGAGCACCTAAAGCAAATATTTATCACTATTTAAGTATTTAAAATACATTTTGTTTCTACTTGAAGCTTTAACCCTTCCATTCCTGCAAGTGTGCCTTTGAGAATCCACATGTCATATTGACATCACCGGCCACATTGTTGACCTCGTAAGAATCTCTTCCTGACCTCTTGGACAGAGCTTCCTGTTCTCTCATTTTGCAGGTTACTCAGCAGAGAGGGTTCTGTTTTTTCGTTCATATTTCCACCCTTCTTCCTCACTTGGGTAGTGGGCTCTACTACCCCACCCTACCCCCACATTTTGGGAGCACAAATTAGTTGTCAAAACAAGCTTAAAATTCATTTTAAGGCAATATTGGGCTTACTCTCCTCCCAGCCCTCTGTGGATTGATTTGATTTAATGTTTGAGTTTTATAGTAAGAGCTGAAACCATGAACTATCCTAGGAACTGTGTTGGAACTCTTTAAAATAAAGAAAAGAAGAGGAGGAGGAAGAAAGAAAACCAATTTAAGAAGTCTTGACTATGGAGGACAGAAAACCACCAGCCAATGGAGAGCAAAGGGATGTTTCTCTTTCACTTTGTCTTCCTGGGTGTCCTTCTGCTTTGCTTTTTTCCCTCCCCTTAAAAGTGATATTCCTGGTTGGTTTGTCTGTCTGTCCTTGTCCTTGTGGTGATCCTGGCATGGTAATGTGCTCTGCTTTGCATTATCTGTGGTCTCTTACCAGTGCACAAGTCAGTGGGGAGGATCTGAACACACCCAGGGGCAAGGAAGCTGAACCTTGAGGCCTGTGTCCTGTGCAGGCTCCCCATGAACCACAGAAGGTGTGTTCTGCATGGTCACCAGTAAGTGGCTCCCTCTCGCCACGTTCATTGTCAAATGAGAGTGAACCTTAGGTATTGGCTCCCGTGTACTCTACTCGCTCCGCTCCTCTCCCACCAACCAGGGTTCACGTCAGTGCACACTCATTGTGCCCTGGCGAAGCTGGTGCTTGAGTGATGTTTCCCATACAACTCAGGGGTGCCAACTGGCTTACCCTGAGATTGTCATTTTAGGCACATAACAGTGTAGGAATGGGAATGGATTTCATTGATATTTAAATCTCTGTCGGTTTCAATTTTTGTTTTCCCCTGATACTTTTTAGCAATTTAACAAATAAAACAAAATGGACAGAATCGTCTGAACTGTTTTATTAGTTATAAATAAATAAATAAAAACTTGCTATAGTGGAAAGCAGTTGAGGTTGGAGATTGAAGTTAGAAGTGAGGAAGTTGTAAAGTGTTCCTTCTTTGGGAGGACTGTGTTTGTGGGGAGAGGAGGAGAGTTGCCCTTTCCCAGGGACCATTTAATAATAAAGCAGCCCTCTCTATCATGCTTGAAGGACTTGTTTTAGAGCCTCAGTAGCGTCCTGCAGTGGAGACCCAAGAGAGATGATGAGCTTGGAGTAGAGACCCAGGTGCCAGCACAACATCTGTGCCATCACTGGCCTCCTCAGCAAAGAATGAGAACACAGGGCCCCAGGGTCTTGAAGCAACATAGCAAATACTGGTTGGGAACACAGGCCCAAAGCCCCAGAGGCCTGTGGTTTAATCCTGCCTCCCGAACTTACTGCTTAACCTTGAATACAAGTTTCTTGATCTATAAATGCAGTTGCTTCTACCATATAAGATCATGAAGATTAACTGAAGTTGTGTATGAAGAATGCTAGTACAGTGCCTGGCACATCCTAAGCTGATGGCCGCTGCCTTCCCCTGCAGGCCCAGCACAGCACTCCCCAGCCAGGGTTTTTGTTTTTCCTGGATGCTAAAGGGCCAGAGGCCTGTGCACATTTGGATGCAGAATACAGGACCTAGCCAGGGAAGAGAAGGCAGTGCAGGAATCACTGACCCATACCATTACCCTGAGCCAGCTCCTCAGCCCGAGGCTTTGCCTCACATCACCCTTCCTCCAGGGAGCCTGACAAAGTTCCCTGGAAGTGGTGGGCTTTGAGCACCCTCGGGTCAAGGCAGGACAGGAGGCATTGCCTCAAAACCCAGCATGCTGGCCAGTGCAGAGTGCTGCCACACATGACTGGGGCTTATCCTTGCTTCTCTGTGCCTTTTTACCTCCCCCAAGCAGAGAAGAGCATCCCCCGCTATGGTCTGCCTTCTGCTATCAATGGCCATTGCTACTCCCTCTTCCTCCAATACTACCATTGACAAAATGCCCAGCCCAGCATTCTTGTGGATGCTTTGTGAAGTGGTTATTTCACCATTGCTGGAAGTGTTCGAACAAAGGCTGATCGCTTGCATGGGAGGGGATGACAGCTGATTTATGCATCAGATCATGAATGGGGGACCAAGGGACTCACTTGCTCTTCTGTGGACTCAAGAAAGGACTTAGAGGCACCATGATAAAGACATGGGCATGGGCTTTGGACCAGGACAGACCTAGGTTCAAAAGCTGGCTCTGTCACTTTGAGCTGGGGCAAGTCATCTCACCTCTTTGATCCTCAATTTTATTAGTAAAATGGCAATGATGACACCAGCCTCAGTCAGCAATTTAGGTGAATAGCCAAATGGGTGTGGTTCCCCAAAAGGCCACCTGGGGGCACCCTGTGAAAGGCTTTCAGTCCTGGTGATCCATCAGAAGCAGTCTTGAGAAGGAAACTGAGTGGACTTGCCCATCTCTCCCCTCCCTCTGGCAGTAAAGTCTGGGTGGCACCCCTTCCCTGGACTCTGTCTTGCTTCCAAGCACTATCCCCGGTGTGGCCTGCCTGCCTTCTCTGCCACAGCCCCCGGCTGTGGGAAAGTCTGTGTCTTCTCCACAGGGCTGGGCTCTGGGCCCAGACCCTGTCAGCATGCACAAAGCCAAGCTAACGTCTCAAGTAAATGCCTAAAAGTCTTAGCACAGCGTATTATTCCCCCACCAAGGAGCCTGTCTGTCTACCCGCCACAGGGAAGAGGAGGGCTGCCTTACCAGCAGAAGCCTGGGAGGAAGGAAGAAGCTGTTGGCCCAGGATGTGGGCTTTACCAGGCCAGGGAAGCCTGGAACTGACCTGGGGAATCATTGATTCTCAGCATCTACTGACTCCTGCTGCATGGGACACACAAATGACTCAAAAGAGGCCCATTCCCGGAGGAGCTCACAGCCTAATCAGAAACAAGAGTGATGTCAAATTGGCTGAA